TTTGAGTTCTCCAAAATACCCTTATTATATGCCACCACCTTTTCATTAATAATGGGGACATTTTTGACATTCACAAAAGAGGCCCCCCAATCCAGCAATCTCCCCTCCTCTTCGTCAAGCTCTAAACCTGTCCTTTTCAGCAATCCCTTCTTTTTTAATCTCTAGATCTACGTTCTTAACAGATCCTATAATTTATTAATGTTTAGCCTTTTCCATTGAAATCAAGGTCAGATAAGAAGTGTTGGGTGAGAGCAAATTGAAAAAATGCAAGAAAAAGATGAACCCCAATTAAAAAAGTAAATGAGAAGAAAACATAAAGGTGCCTGCAATTGAGAAATTGAGAAAACACAGTCAACTCCATCTGTTCTGGGACGTTCCTCGCTCTATGCACTAGCAATACTCTTCCCCTCTGTCGGTTAAGTCGATTTCTCTGAAAGACTTGTTGTTTCAATGCCTAATTATTAATTTGTGTCAATGCCTAGAATGAGAACATACTATGAGGACAAATTGTTCTTCTAAAATGTAGTGGACATTGCATCAAAGAATTGGGTTTGTCGAGTGTGAATTGCAAGAAAAAAATGATATATTTTGGTGAAAGACAAAAATGTCCATATATTTAATGTGATGACATGAAATAATAAGGACATTTTGGAGAACTCAAATATGTATACAATGCTAACCTACTACAACTATGTAGTAGGTTAGCAAAACCCCATATATATATATATATATATATACTGGAGTGCAGAGCGTTGCTTGAAATTGATGGTATCTTTGATATCTTTTCCACCTTTCTTCAGCACTTCGTGTAGCTTTTGATACATGAAACTCCAGGTTGTCATCACTGTACTACTACCGTTGTCATTTTTTTTAAGGACAAATCATTTAAGTGTGCAGATTTACTAAATACTCAATCACCTCACTGGAGAAAATGCACAAGCCTGAACTATATGTTGAACCAGACCTTGGAATACCTCTTGACCTTCTTGATCTCAGCGTATACAAGTATGTTACATGCTCTCTCTCCTTTTCTTCATGCAGCAGCTATTAGTTGAATATTATCTATTATTTTGACCTTACTGCTGGCTTGCTTAGTCCTCCCAAGGGTGAAAGGCTACCACTTGCACCGGAAGATGAAGAATTGTTGCGTGACGACAATCCTATCACCCCCATCAAGAAAGATGGCATAAAAAAGAAAGAAAGGCCAACGGACAAAGGTGTTTCTTGGCTGGTCAAAACACAATACATCTCTCCTCTTAGCACGGAGTCAGCAAAACAGGTTCCTGCTGATAATAGCGTTTTAAAGGAATATTCTTCTTCAAAGAGTAGAAAAACCTTATTTAATTAATTGTTTATGCCATTTGCAGTCTCTGACTGAAAAGCAAGCTAAAGAATTGCGAGAAAATAGAGGTGGCCGCAACATCTTGGAGAATCTTAACAATAGGTTACTTCTACTTTCAGTGTCCATGCTATCCATGTCTAAGATAGTGAGACATAGTTGAGGCCTGAATGTTGTATTCCTCAAACCCTGTTTTCAGAGATAGACAACTCCAGGAGATCGAGGCTTCTTTTGAGGCATGCAAGTCACGGCCCATTCATGCGACCAATCGCAGATTGCAGCCTGTCAAAGTCCAGCCACTTTTTCCTGACTTTGATCGGTAAGTCTTCCTCTCTTTTTCTTCTGTTTTCATGTTAAATATCTGTATGTTGGCCTGAATGTTGAAGAAGAGGGATGAAAGATTTAAGAAGATTAAAACTTTATCTTATCAAAGAAAAAAAAAGATTTAAGAAGATTATGTTTCAGTATAATTGGTGCAGTCTCCCTCAAAGAATGAGGTACTTTCACTTCATCCATAAGAATGTGGCGTTGTCTTTTAACATGCATGCATAAAGGGCTCGCATATTTCCTAGTTTCTCCTTTTATTTTTGATTTATCTTCTTGTGATAATTGCAGCTTTCAGTCCTTTTTTTCCCTTTGATTATCCGGATGGGGAAAAGTTTATCTCATTTCTCAGTGCCAAAAAAAGATCACCATAGTTGGACTGTAATTTGTGAGTTGGAAGGGGATTTCATGTTAAGTGGAATAATAAAAAGCTATACTTTTTATGAGAACAACATTCTCCATTTTTATTGCAATATTTGTGCAACCCCTCTATGCGTGGTACTTTAATGCCTTAGTGCCTTGAGCTAATTATTTTTTCAAAGTTCTCTGTGCTTCCTCCTAATCGTTGTTTGGTAGCAGCAATACTGGCACATATGTCGATTATTTCTCAGTTCACTAACAGAGGTCTGCTCACGGTCTGATGGGCAAACTTCTCAGAATGATGAGCTTTTAATTTATCTTATGTTTGATCTCTCTGTGTTCTGCTGTCTGAAAGCACATACCCCAATTTTGTGTAATCCTCTTTTGTCCCCGCTCACCTTGTGTAGTAAGTACTCCTTTGCTTGCTCTTTATCAAAAAACGTACTCGTTTGTTTGCTTTGTTGAGCAACAAGCAGAGTAGGTAATGGTAATTGGCGGTACTAGGTAATTGAAGGTTAAGGGAAACTTGAGTGAGAAGAAATGCTATTAACTATTAAGGTTATACAGGACTTTGGGACTTTTAAGTTTTGGGCTTTTGTATGTTTGATATGTGTGAGTTTGGCCCTTGCTATTTATTGTACCCACTTCTGTGGTGGACCTTTTCTCTATTTGTCACCATATCCTTCGTTTTCACTGCTATTTTTCTACAATTTATGGCATTTATAGATGCAGCCCATAAAATTCCTGAAAAATTGTTGTACAATTATTGTAGGTAGGCAAATGAGTCTGGTATGCCTTTTTTATATTCTTGAAGTACCTAAGACATCCCACTTGTATAGATAATTGGATGGCATTTTTACAGGAGATCACCAGATTGCTATGTTTTCTTACGCATCGCGTGTACTAGAATTCTTCTGCTATCATTTTTGTCAATAAAATAACATTTGCTTGTCAAAAGAAAATAGCAGAAGCTGGATGTATTTGCCAATATGCAGAAGAATTAAAGTAATAATTGCCTGCAAAACTTTTCCCCTTTTTCCTATGAAACTCATCGAGTCATTGGATCATGGCAATATCTTGGTGATGGAGATAACATGAACTGATAATGCTATTTTTCCAGGTACCAAGACCCGTTTGTGCTCGCGAATTTCGATAGTGCTCCAACTGCTGACTCAGAGACCTACAACAAGTTGGATAAAACTGTTCGTGATGCATATGAATCACAGGTGAAATTAATTGATGCCTTTCTCCAAGTTTGTAGTGCTTTCTCCAGGTTAGTAAGCTAAAGTAAAGACTCCTTTGGTCAATAAATGTGAAGGAGCAATTGCTGAGTGAAAGCAAGATTGGCAAAGTTAGCTTTTTCATATGAAATTGAGACCCCATATATTCATCTTCTCCGAACTTATGTCTAATCATTTTGCTATCAGCTCCTTGTCCAACATCAATTGACCAACGCGAGAATGTTCAATCCAAACTTATATTGAGTTGGAAAAGTTTGAAGGCCTTTGCCAGAGTGTTGATATATAATGTGTCTGTGTCAGCATGATCTTCTATTTTCCCTCGGACCCCACAACACTATGATGTTTGAATGCAATCTTAACGAACATGAATTATGGTTTGCAATACATCTTGCAGGCCATTATGAAAAGCTTCGTGGCTACAAGCTCAGACGCAGATAAACCTGATAAATTTCTGGCATATATGGTTCCAGCACCAAATGAGGTGAAATTACATCTATTTAAAACGGAAAAGTTCATGAGCATAAATCTCATTTAATGATATTCTGTTGCTTTTCGTTGATTTTGACAGCTAACGAAGGATATGTATGATGAAAATGAGGATATTTCATACAGTTGGGTTCGGGAGTATCACTGGGACGTATGTACCTTTTCCGAGTGCTGAACTTGACCTAGTTACATTTTTATATTTAGTATACTTAGTTTTATTAATATTGCTCGCATTTGCCCATTGGCAGGTAAGAGGTGATGATGCAGATGATCCTACTACATACCTTGTGGCCTTTGGTGAAACAGAGGCCCATTACATGGTAAAAAACTGGGTTTTAACTTGTAAATTTTATGTGGTTTAACACTGGAACTTGACTACAACATGGATGTGTGCGTGATGCAGCCTCTTCCAACGAAGCTTGTTTTGAGAAAAAAGAGAGCTAGAGAGGGAAAATCAAATGATGAAGTTGAACATTTTCCAGTACCTTCAAGAGTTACAGTAAGGAGGAGAAAAACAGTAGCTGCCATTGAACTGAAAGAAGAAGGGGTAATGAAGCCACAAGTCTACTCTTCCTTCTTTTTCTTTCTACATTGCCTTTCCTTTTGCAACTGATTATGACATCGGTGGATCCTTGCAGGGTTATACAACAGCTTCGAAGGGGGGTGTCTCAAGTTCAAGGAGAGCAAGAACCAATGACGAAGATGCTGTTGGTGAACAACAGAACGATATGCATGATGGTGATCAGGATCAATCTAGTGGAGCTGAGTATGATATGTCTGACTGATTAGTTCACATTCTTTTCAGCTGATCGGTTAATTTACAGCAAAGAATTAGAGAACAGGAAGAAAAAAACATGAGAGTAGATATATGGGAGAAGTTGCACAAATAAACAATGCTCTGTACCATATAGGAATTTTGTTCTTTGAAAAGATTGAACTTTCAAGTAATGTTTTACCAGTGCTCCAATGAGTGTTTGGCCCTACAGTTATTCTTGTTCCCTCTCCTCCAGTCTTGTACCCTCTGCACAGATGTTGCATTAGGTGTAGCGACTTGTGGTTTAATTTTCGGTGTCAGCTTTTTCAAAAAAATTCTTTCTGCTCTTTTGCATGTTGTGGCAGTGCTTAGAAATGAGCTCGGAGATGTATTCTGGTTCAAGAGGAGATATGTCTTGTGCTTCAGGCTGACGCTTTGTGCTTCTCGCAAAACTGGAAATCACAGGAAAGTNCCCCCCCCAAAAAAAAAAAAAAAAAAAAGCTTACATCAAGACTGTGGACCTATAAGTAAGCTGCTATACAAGCAGAAGCAAGAGGGTGTACCATCTGCAAGGATGCAACACATGAATGTAGTCTGAAGCCTGCTTGGCTATACGATCCTGTCAACATAACATCCAGGCATGGTAAGCAAAACTCAATATGGAACCTGTTCAAAAGCTGGACTGTTGAGGTGAGATTGCCAGCATGGTAGTGCACATACAGCAAACTATTGGTAGGAGGATGTAGATTACAAAGGTAATGACTGTATAGAAGATCACGCTCAAAATCTCAATCTCTGATTTATTGAATTTCCCACATGGAAAATTCATGAAATAATATGTGCACAGTAGTTTTACATTGATGTGTTGAGGAATATCGATGACAAAAGGGATAAAGATCTCAGTATCTCACCCAACCGGGTTTTCAAGGAAGTCTTCTGCATGCTTTCAGAAGTGCAAACTCCTTGATGCAATTGAAGCCCTAAGAATTAAAAAAGGCCCAAAAAATGTAAATGAGTTCAACTCGGTAAATATGTATAATTAAAGTAAAGATACAATGGATCTATAATGTCTTACCAAGCTTGCCGACATTTCACTGCCTCTTGACGAACAACCCTCTTTGTATCATCAAGAGCTTTGGATAATGCTTGCAACACCTACATATGAAGAGACACATTATGAAAATCCAGGCTTCATGAGAAAGACAAGAAGAACCTCTTACACTCCTGATAAATAAGCTGCATCCATTGTTAGGCATTTAGTTGATGTTTCAGGATCTTCTGATAAAATGTTGGTGGATATTCTGATTGCTCGCACTACAAAACACCAACCTGTGTTCTCATGGGGTATATCCTTGCATACGGAAACTCTGACATGGCAGCAAGGCACTGAATTGCAGTCTCTCGAATCACCTGATAATTTAAGAAATTTCTCAAATTTAAGAAAGGTCCCAGCCTATAGTCGGAAGTGAAGGAGAGTAGTGGATTATTTTCATTAAAGTCCTATTATAACAGGCTCTTGATCAAAGAGGAATCAGGCTTCCCACATCTATCTATTTGATTCCTAGGTCACCACAATGGGGAGTTTCTTCACTTGGTTAGCAACGAGTGGAGCAATTCTGAGAGCTGACAACTTGTGAAAGAGTAGAATTCCATATATCAGTTGGTAGTTTATCTGCCAAAATCCGGACAAAGATGCGGACACATTTCCTTTACATTGTCAGGTAGTGTCTAACTTGTGGGAAAACTTTAGATGGTTTAGGCTACAATGAGTGATACCAAGCACTGTGATGCAAGCACGCTTCAGCTGGACTTTTAGAAGATGGAGGACAAGATGAAGGGCGTAAATTGTTGTTCCACTAGCACTATATGCATTGTGCTGAAAGAGAGAAATAGGAAATATTTTGCAGGGACGAGTAATTTTGTACATTTTTGAGGAATGCCACTTGTTCCTTGTTTCTTTTTGGTGCACCCACGAGTTTTATATTTATATGGAAGATTGGAAGAGAATCAAACTTCCTTGTAGGTTCTCTACTTTTTGGCATACTGCTATATGAGAGTTATCGCCTGCCATCTCAACAAAATTATTTTACCACATCACAAAATCCCAAACTTGAAAGAAACTTTTACCATCATATGGGGATAGGATGTGAGCTCAGTAAGTCGGCAGATAACTGTGGGCGCATTTTCTACAATAGCTTCTTGTCCTGCATCAGCAAAAAAAGAAGCTGGAAAATGAATGATGAAACCATTGAATCCCAAATTTAACATCAAAGCATGAAACAATAACCTGATTAACCTCAAGTTGGAGAAAGACAGGTTTAATTTGGTAAGATTTAGTAAAGAGCTTTTCGCTCGCAATTTCGAAAGCTTAGACTAGGGGTTCTCCAGATCTCTGAAAGGAAACTCATATGAGGTTCCCGGGAAATATTCAAATATGCCACTTACAATTGGTCATTAGCGCATACAAAAAAAAGAATCTTCCGTAAGTATAAAATTGGCAGCTAATGAAGCCTTTCTAGATTATTCAAGCGAATTTTTCTGCAAGCTAATTGCTTATGTCTATTAACTTCTTCACGCAACCTTGAAGATGAACATGTGCAAATATGCAAGGTACAATTAATATGCAAATCCTTAGCGGATGATGGTCCATAAGCAAATTATGATAGCCGATCTGATAAACTTTTCAGAGCTAAAAGAAACTCTCACAGAGATAAGCAAATGGTCTTACCATTTTTATCTGTTATTATTCCAGAGAGAACTATTATGACACTGTAAATTATCTCCTTATGAGAGACATCCTTGCTTAACATAAGAAAGCAATCTAAAAGTACAGGAAGGACCTGCATACAAAGATAAATATCATAAGCAATTAACCTTGGACCTGACTATCAACAATATGAGTACAAATAGTTGGTCATTGCTACTTGCTCACCTTTTTGGCATCACCAACAATAGCAGCAAGAGGAGTTTCTGATATCAGGTGTGCGAAAGCTTGATAAAGAAAACACCTGAAATCACGGGAGGATTAACTAAGGCAAACCATCTTTAAATTTGATCAGATCTACAAAAGTTTAATTCAACTCATTACAGTAAGCTCTTTTAAGATAGAAGTCCTATTATTCAATCTTTAATCAGGGAAAATGATGTAGCTACTGAAACTTCAAAAAAAAAAAAAAGAAGTTACTAGTTTTATTTTAGTGAATGCAACAGAGCTTTGGAAAACATATTTTACGGGGATTCATGTGTGCTCTGACATGGATATGTTCAACATTTAACAAGGCTTTAGTGCACTTAGGATTACTTAGGATTGGGGAGAGGTGATCAAGCGGGACATGGCGCGACTTAGGATTACTGAGGACATGGCCCTAGACGGGGAATTGTGGAGGTCGAACATTAAGGTTGAAGGTTAGGGGGAAGTTGTGAATATTTCTACAGCGTACTAGAGTGAGCCTAGCCAGTTAGGAGTTAGGCTTAGGATGCTATTGGTCAGCTACTGATGCAGGGCTTTATGTGCTGGGTATTAGTTTACCTTCCATCTCGCTCGTATTTACTATATTCTCTTATATTGTTGTTATTTTGCTATTTTAGGTTCCTTTATGTTATGTTATGTATTTTATGTTATTTTATTGTGAGTCTATCGATGGTACTAATATATCGTCACTTGGTGCTTTCTTGAGTTGAGGGTCTCCTGGAAACAGCCTCTCTGCCCCTCGGGGTAGGGGTAAGGTTTGCGTACATGCTACCCTCCCCAGACCCCACTTGTGGGATTATACTGGGTTGTTGTTGTTGTTGTTGTTGTTGTTAGTGCACTTCGAAAATCCACATGAAACAACCCATACTTTTTATATCAAGTAAAATATAATTTAATTGAATAATTGGGACAACTCCCGCATACAAGAGGTATGCCAAAAAAAATAGAGAATCTACAGAAAGCACATGAAACAACCCATATGTGAGTAGAACACAAGTATTTAGGCACATGAAGATCGCACATAACATAGGTAACAAATTGAGACATACAAGATGGGCAAGCTTGAATATTGATTCTGTTTATTTTTTTTCCAGATGAGTATTGGAATTAGGCACATGATACAAGAGGTATGCCAAAATAGAGAATCTACAGAAAGCACATGAAACAACCCATATGTGAGTAGAACACAAGTATTTAGGCACATGAAGATCGCACATAACATAGGTAACAAATTGAGACATACAAGATGGGCAAGCTTGAATATTGATTCTGTTTGTTTTTTTTCCAGATGAGTATTGGAATTTAATAAATGAGAAGAAAACCCCCTCCCCCAATTTTTCTTTTTTTCCCGATAAAGTACCCCACCCACCCAAATTATGCTAGAACCACATTACCCTTTCCGCCTTTGATAAGCTGCTTCAGAACATACACTATTAACTTTGTTTTAGAAAGAACATATGCTATTTTTAACTGATAACTAGCACCCCAGGGCTCACACAGATAGTCTTCAGAGTTATTGAAATTAAATAAAAATGACTTCTTTAAGCAAGCTAATAAAAATTACTCAACAAACTAACTTAATACAAAGACCACAAAAGCATCTATTGGCGTTCTTAGGCTTCTAAATGTTTCTTGACTTTCTTCAACAAACCATGAACCAGAAGATTACAGTCTCCATCATCAACCAGATACAAAATGAGAGTATGAAGCGCGGGATACACAAAAATTTTAAAAAAGGGAAGCCCAGTGCATGAAGCATCCAGGCCACGTAGGCAGCCTAGGGTAAGCGTTAGTGGCTGATTCCACGCTCAAATCCGTGACCTATAAGTCACACGGAGACAAATTTACCGTGGCTCCAATAAGAAAAATTAAACAAATGAAATCAACTAGATTGATACGTACCGTGTAGTGGATGAGTCACATTTTACTATTGCAGATAAGAACATAGGCAACATAATGTTGAAAAACCGTTGCTTATAGAGTGGGCGAATGATTGCATGATAATTCCTGTTCAAACAAGCATCAGAGTCGCTCATAAGAATATGAAATGCATCCGCAGCTGATTTTCTGAGACAAAGCACTTCATGCTCTGCGCCATCTTTTATTTGATCCTTGAAAGGCAGCAAATTTCTATTATGTCCGCTTGAAACTAAGTAACTCAAGAAAGTCATAGTCACATCTTTTAGCTTCTCATGACCCCGCATAAGCAGACCTTTCCCTATCCATGCTAATCCAATAACAGCATGACTATTCATACTGCTTATTCTCGGGTTACCCATATTAACAGCACCACCATCATTGCACTCTTTCCCAATAATAATGTTGCACCACATCTCATTCTTGAATAACGTATCAATAACTTCTTCGAGACTACAGTTTTCTGATATATTTACAGGAAGTTTGTTAACCAAAGACCCCAGGGCCTGAGCTGACGGTAAATGACCTTCAAGGAGAGTCGTTGTCAACAACTGTAATAACAGTCTTATATTTGGTATTCGAGTTTGAGGACGCAACGCAATTACAACTGATGCGAAGAGTGAAGTAATCCATTCGTCTCGACAAGACAAACCATCAAAAGTCTGACAAAGTTGACTTTTCTCGTTAAAGCGATTGGTTCCTAGAATCAAATCCTTGGATAGGAATAAGGAGCATGTTGCCATCACATCAAAAGCTTTCCGAAGAACCTTTTCCTGGCTTTCCATTGAACAGCCTGCCACAGCTTGCTTCATTGCAGCCATTGTTGCGTCCAGAAACTCCTGAGGTAAGTATGGTATGTTAACATTTCTAGTCGAACTTGTGGGAAAATAAGATGGAAATCAAATATTTCTTCAAATAAAACAAGACATGTGAAGAGGAGGAAAAGAAAATACGCTATGCTTACATTTCCCTTTACTCCTAGACTCAAAGATGTGATATTTTCCATTTTAGCAAAAATATTAACTGCAAAATTCAAAGAGACCTCGTCTGCACCTCCATTGCAATGGAACCTGAGAGGCAACCAAAAACTACATGTCAGATCTTTGGTAAAAACATTGAAAATATTGAGAATGTTCAGTTATTCTTTGATGACGTAGGACTGTTAAGCTATTTAACTCATTTAATTACAACTGCTAGCCAAAAAATCCGATCATCTTCCAGCCTACATAGGCCGACTCCACCTGCCAAATGGATCATATAGCAGATTGTTTTGTTAGGATGTGAGACTTAACCATTTCCATGCTACAGGAAACAGTGACAACAGAAATAAAGGTCAGAAAAGAACAACTAAATACTGTATACTTTTTAGATCTCCTTTTTTCCCTTTGTTCTTTGCCCTTCCTTCCTTTCCTCTTTTATTTCTTAGTTCCTTCTTAATATTCTCGTTTGTGGGAGCATAAGTGAAAAAAGCAAGCGAAATTACATTTTTTGCTTCACCATAAGCAGGAAATGACACTGTGTGGCTTCCTTTTTCAAAGCAGAAGTTAGTGAACCAGCAAAAAACTGAGTTGCATCAAATATCACACATAAGAAAAATCAACAGAGACTACTGGCCATCCATATGAGGATGCATCACAATAGAGAATGCAGTAGGGAGAAATACCCAGAACAGAGATGGAATAGAATGGAAATCTAATAAACAAGATAAATTAAGATCGTGTACGTACCATGGAAGTACCTTAATGGAATAACATTCCAAAAGCACAGCTGTCAGTTCAGCTAACTGCAGATTTCCATGGACCTGCAATAAGATAAAGNCGCTCAAGAGAGAGGTTCTTCCATTTCTAGTTTAGTCATTTGCAGCAGGAGTTAATGGGAGCAAACACCTCCTAGATGTGTACTAAAAATGCCAAAGAGAGAACAATGCTCGACTCTAGTTTAGGCAGTTGCAGCAAGAGTTCATGGAAGCATACACCTAGATATGAGCTAAACAAGTCAAAGTATTAAAGTAAAAAGAGACTAGGAAGCACATGACGAGAAGAATGACGGCGCTACAAACTTGACTTAAGTATAACACAAGGATGCACATGATATTTCCTGTAATGTGGCTTCAGAATGCCCAGAATTAAACAGGTGAAGCATGCGGTGAATTAATAATGGCCTAGAGGTTTCAAATAGTACACGTACAAAAATCTCAGATAAGTTGGCAGATATAGTCTTCTCCAATTGGCTTGCAGCAGCAAGCATGAAACTCTTCCTGGTCATTCCAATGTCAAAAATGGCCTGTATCTTGAGTGATAGCGGCATATTTAAGTCACCCGAAGAAATTAGAGAAACAATCTTTTGCATGACAATACTGTTAAAGCTAGCTGCCTTTACATCCTCGTCATACTTATTGACAAACAAGCTGATTTCCACTAAAACTTTCAACGCTGCCTTCCATAGAAATGTCTTGTTGAAATCAGATTCAATGATTGACATCAAAGTCAGCAGGATTTTCTCATACATGAACTTTGACGCTGAAATAAAGCTTCCAGGAAATGTAGCCAAGATCTCCAAACCTTTAACTATAAATTGCGCACAAAAAAAAAAAGAATGTTTCAGTCAAAAGCAAGTAAATTACACTTTACAAAACACGATGAGCACAGAAGACACTCGCATTCCCTATGACGTTAACAGGATCCAAACGATCCTAAGACAAAGCGTGGGCAATTTTAAACTATGAATAGCTCGTGGCCTACCATCATAAAACCTTTTTTGGGAGAATGCAGATTGGAGCTATGGGAAACTTGACAGGAAAAGTACGACCATATTACCTATAGTACTAAGACTAAAGAAGACAGCTTAGTTCCAGAACAAATTCATTTGTCAAGGAGAAGTATTTACCTGCTGCATAAACATAAGCATTCCAAGTGATTTCAGCACAACTTGCTCGAATGAGACAAAAGAAAACATTGCATAATGATGTGGAGAAACTATGAAGTATCTGGCACCAAGTGTCATGTGATAGATCCGGAGCTGAAGCGACTTTATCGGAGCTGACTACCAGCTGTCTGCATGCAGCAAGGAGTTCGACACAAAGATACAAGGCTCCGAAGTTAAATTTTGCATCCAAAGCTGAATGAATAGCCTCGGGGGAATTTTCAACCGAGAACCTTAAAGCATCCACCAACCGAGGAAAGAAACTTTCAAAAACTTTATTGCAGGAAGACCCAGAAGATTTAACACAAACAGAAAGAATACGAGCAACTGCATGTAATCTCTGCTTGTATTCAGAAGAAAGACTATTGAAATCGTTGAACTGGGAAAAGGACTTTAGAAATGTGCTTATGTCCCCATCACCCAGAATCAAATTTAAGAATGACGCATTATGCTGCTGAACAAGCACCTGGAGAAGTTCATGGGCCTGCGCCATAATTTCACTCTCATGAAAACCTATTCCATCTATTGTATAGGAATCCACTGACAAAATGGAGTGCGGACAAGTAAATATTGCATCTTTCAATGCAGACCAAAGGGATTCGGTGTATTTTTCCATTCTATCTCCTCCATATTTCAATGTGCAGTAGCTAAGGTACTTAAAAGATTCCACCTGTAGCACAAGAATCAATGAAAATATAATACATTCAATCCAAATGCTAATATGGTAAAACTAATAGAAATAGTTGGAACTTACCTTTGCTGATGGCAGAGAAGAAGATATTTTTTCAAGAAGTAATGGAATGGCTGAGGGTTCAAAAAGTGGCGTGGAAGCAAACGCCAGCTAGAAGACAGCAAAGTATGTTAGAATCTAATTAAAAACCAATAAGAGGAATATGGAATATAATAGGAATATGAAAAACGATAAGAATGTGAAAATGAATAGCAAGATATTCTTATTGACTCTTTGAACGAAGACACCAGAGCAAACTATTGCACCCCCAACATAATTAGTTGATAAGACTTCCTTATGTATGGGAATAGGCTCTTAAGTTTAACATTTGGAAAGCATGTATCATCTGTTCAAATTCAAGAACTTCGCACCTAAAATCTAAAGGCCAAAAGATTCGGGTTTCAACAATCAACCCAACTAAAGGTTAAAAGATCCAGGTTTCAACAATCAACCCAACTAAAATCCTCTCAACCACTTGATAACTGGAGAGTCTAGGACTGGCATGAAATGCCTCCCCATAACAAGGAAACTGTTGATGGACCAGGTTGTCCATCCGGACAGTTAGAAGAAGATGCCAAAATTATAAATGTTAAGACTAAGCTGATCAATTCATTACATATTAATTTTTTTAATGGAGACCATCTCAAGCTTCAAACCAGCTTCCTTCTTTTTTGGGATAAAGTAATAATTTTAGTATCAAACTTCTTACACTGAAAGAAAGAGAATATTTATCATCCAGGCACTAAAGAATACACCTCCCGTGGAAGCATCCTAGGGAAGCGAGATAATACATAAGCACCTACAATCAATTCACAATGAGCATAGAGATTGAATCAGAAAGTCTTATGGCTTTCTCCTATGCCAAGTCACATTACTTTTTTAAAAAGACCCATAGAAAGTACGTTTTTTTAAGGTCTAGAAAAGTTATAAGCTTCAAACAATGCATACATTGTTCAGTTAAATTCCTCTTTTTCCGATAGGTACAACTGCTTAGTAAGTCCGTAAGAATTTATTTTGTTTTCTGATTAGGTGGAGCAAAGCTACTCATTTGCATATGCATAACTTTATACATGCTACTTCAGCAATAAAGGCATATCAGAAAACTATACGTTACATATGTTGTGGACCAGAATGAGCCTTCCCCAGAATTAAGCTGCAAACTCTAATGTTGCTAACCTCTTATAGAAAAGTTGGAAGAAGAGACGTCTATTCTCGACTAGAGATAAAAATACCAGCTTTTTCTAACCAAACCATAAATAAAGAATTAACATGTTAACCAAAGTGATGCAAACTCAACTCAGCATATAATATCTACATTTTCTTGAAATTCACAAAATCACGAACAGTCAATCTTTTGGGATCTCGGAGGATCCTATGTGGCTTCTGCTCCATTAATGGATTAACTTGTTAGTTATTTTTATCATGAAGATAAAAATCATAATATTCTCTATAAAAGAAGCTTTAGAAAAGGTATAAATGCATTAAAAGAAATTGGCATACCATTAGGGCTCTTGAGAGTTCCTCCCTCTTTACATCAATTTCATCACCTTTAGGCTGGGTATTCCAAAGAGCAAGACAAAAATAAATTGTCAAGTAAAGGAGAGAGAACAATAATGACTTGGAATTACTTATCAAAAGAATAAAAGACTGTAGTTTATTAGAACCTGCTAAATTAGCTACCTTCGCATAAGTCTAAGGCTATTAATCATGAAATCATTGCTTATACTTTCCCTAGAAGGGTAGGAAAATTATTCTTGAATGGTATCACCAAACCCGAAGAGAATAAATAAGGTATACAAGCAATATAGGACGTTGTGCAATTCTAAAGTTCATTATCAACCCAACCCATACTTTCTTGTCCCACAACATATATAGCGAGGTTAAAAGCTAGTCCATCGCTTCTCTTTCCGTTTCTTTCATAGCAATTCAGTTAGAGATGATATATCAAATGTTGCCTTCAGCCCTTCATGGTTGCAGATCATTTTCTCATTGATGTCGGACGAGATAGCAGTATCACATGTTTACTTAATTATCAATTCATAACAAGGATTAGAGCTTTCCAAGGGAATCTATTAAAAATATCTTCATTGAATCTTGAAGCGACCAGCATAGTCAGATACATATTTCCTAAATTCAGAAGAAGAAAAAAAACACAAGTAAAGAGCAGAGATACAGTATAATTCAATGATCTCACATGGGTAAAATGGATAGGAAAGTAACATCCCAAAATATCGAACAGATC